TTCGAGAAATTTCCGGGCGATAGGACAAGGTGGGTAGGGGGTTGAAACATTAACGTTAAAATCGCCAATGACTGTGATGCTTGGGTTGTCCACGAAAGCCCTGTGCAGCTGCTCTTCAAAATTCTGCCAGTACAAGATGGGCTCGTCAGGTGGCCGGTAAAAGCACCCAACTAGTTGTCGCCTTCGTCGCCCTTTGACTTCGATCCAGGACGATTCAATGTTAGCGTCGGAAAGCTCTGGGCGCGGTTTTACCTGGAGTCCGGAACGGAAATAAAAGCATACACCGCCACCTCTGCGCACTGGACGATCGTGCCGTATCACACAGTAACCTGATATATCAATATCACTGTCTGACGTTGTGCTGTCAAGCCAGGTTTCTGCGACGCCAAATATGTCGAAGTTGTATTGCTGTAGGATATCGGCGACCTCAGCTACTTTGTTTCGAAGACTACAAACATTCAAAAAGCCCAGTCTTATGAAGGACTGTGTCAATGGGGTAAGGCGGTGAGCAGGGGCAGAACGGTTATTCTGGGTACAAGAGCCATGAGCACTGGGACCTGGGATGCCAGCGCCAGCCCCAGGGGAGAGATGTTGACTGTGTACACTACTAGTAGTTAACTTGGAGGGGGAAAAGCTGGGTGCTAAGGGATTAAGAGACGCCATTAACATTTAAAAAAGATGCAGCTAAAGAAATTGTGTTCTGATGATCTATCATTACTAGGTAAAAAGGGATCAGCATGGGGATTAAAAGCAAGTGCAGTAAGTATTAACCGTAATTACCTTCATTGCACTAGTAGCTTCCTCTGCGGGCAGCTTCAACTCTCTCTGCCAGCTTCTTGCGCTCACGGTTTGAACACTCCTTAGCCCACGCAATTTGCGGGTCGTTCAAGGCAGAGGCAGGTGGCTCAGTGCGCCCTGATAGGACAGTGGCGGAGAAGGTGTGTTTGCCTGCTGCCAGTCTGAAGCCATCGTCATCAGGAGAGGGGGCTGTCCCGCTGCTCTTTTCTTTGTCTCCAGGTTGGCTGAAAGCCGGCACATGGTTACTGGTATCAGTTGTGCCAGTGCTGGTCCCATTGGCTAAAAGTGCCTGGCGATAGCTGTTGACTGAGGCAGTGTGCAGCCCTGTGTTGCTAGCTGCACCTGTCTCCACACTGACGACAGCTGGCTCCACAGCGGCTTCTGCGGGCTGGGTAGTCACCGTACCCGTATCAGTGGCTGTACTGACGCTGGGAGGGTTTGTACTCGTACCGGTTGTGTTGCGGTGCTGTGCTTGTGGAAGCTGGGAAGCTGTAGACTGTGCCCCACGGTTGGGACATGCTTTAGCCTCGTGGCCACTGTTGTTGCAGCGCCAACATGTTTGCTGTTGGCCGCGGTGCCATACTCGCAGTTTCAACTGACCTACGGTAACCGTAGATGGAACTGGTGATCGGAGGACCAGGCTGAGAACACGGGTGCCAGTACTTATTTCCAATCCCTCAAACAATACTTTTTTCTGTTGAGGCGACCCAACAATTCGGCCGAATTGGCCCAGCGCAGCACACAATTTACTGTTTTGAAGCCCGACAGGGCACCCAAACACATGCAGATGGGTTAAGTCCACCCCGGAAATCTCGCAGAGCACCTGCTTACCGGAAATCCGGATTCCTGCGTCCAGTATCTTTTCCCGCTCAGCAGAACTCTTCACTGTAACAACGCAATGACCAGGCTTGCCCTGAAGGTCCACCTGGCAGACCTGACATATATCTACCTTACTCTGCTTGAGCGCCTTGGCGTAAAACAAGTGGTCTGCAGACCAGTCCTTCTCAATCCTAAAAGAAAAGGAGGCCGGAGCAGGAGCTCCAAAACTGCCAACCGTCTCCATCGTACACATTTTGTACTGAGCCTGTACTGCTATTCTGAGTACCGCTGTTGGCGTGGTCTTCTATAGCACGGTGCCAGTCTGATAGAATCAGAACAGGAAACCACGTGACACTTGACTAGACTGACTAGAAAATCTGACACACTGACTTGAAAAGACACAAACGTCAATACTCACCTCATGTCAACACGAAATGAGCATGGTCTCACAATACTAACATATCGTGTCGGCACATTATCAGTATGCCTTTTCATATGCCATTTCAGCTCTGTGTTGGCCTGTTGGCTTTGCACTGGTGTGACTTCGGGTTGGTATGCCTCAGGGCATGCTTGTCCGGTACTCAATCTCCTTACTAAAAGACACTTTGTCGTCACGTATACTACCGTACTGGCAATATATGTTGCCGCAGTGAGGCCATGAAGCGTTACATTGGCACATGTTTGCCGCACGCAGGGCGTTGCATGCAAAGTCGCACAGGAGCCGTTACACAGGTTTCTATATTGCCGCAGTCCTTTTTTTGCTATTGCAGGACTTCCTGCTTCGTCCAGTTTTGAACTTTTCACCACGCGGTACGAGCTCGTACACGTGCTTTCACAGTTTTCAGCCTTTTTTGCAATGAAAAGATCGCCGCACCCCGCCGGACGCGCGTTACGAACTCAACGAAAATTTGTCGCACTAGCCTGGTCGCGCGTTACGCCGCACCCCCCTGCGTTACGCGTTACGCGGCAACATATATTGCCAGTACGGTAGTAGTGGGGGTAGCGACTTCCATCATGAGTATCCCCTACATGGCTACTTCCCCTTGTCTAACCCCCAAGACGAAATGATAGTAGCCGACTGGCCGAAATTTAAAAAAAAATCATGAGTGTGGACGATGCAACAGGTTCATGGTACGGCTTAGCAATAGACGAGACAAAGCCCTGTCTGCTTGATCTGCTACTAACGTTGACTGATAATGCGGCAGCTTGCTGGCCCACTGTTGCAGTAGGTGTTGACGTGCGACTTTCTTCTTTCGTACTCAACATAATATTATAGTCATGTTAGGCATTCCCCGGAAGCCTGGTGTTACATGATGTTGGCTGGAAAAGAAACAAAATATACATGTAACAATATGTGCATACCGGTAGCTGGTTGGCGAGGAACACTCTATAGGATGATAGACAAACAGGTGTTTGGGAGAAAGGAGTGTTAAAAGTAATAAAAAAGAGTAAAATTTAATGATCGTGTCCGTTCCTGAAGGGAACTCACGAGTCACGGCGGCCGCTAACACCAGGTAAACCCTTTTTAACAATTCAATAAATAGAAAAAATAATGCTGAATGGACTCGGACGGAGAGCCAAGGATAAAATTAGTACAGAATAGGAAAGAAAGAAGGACCGAGGATTGTTTAAACCGCTGGGAATTTATAGAAAACTAGAGCGATTTTGCGGCCAAACACACTGTCACGTTCTTCGCCTTCACTCCTCGTGTAACCATGTAACCCCGATTCCACGTCGGAACCTGCAGGTCCGGGCACGTGACACAGCCATGTTCCAGACATGCCATGTCTGCCTGATACAAGAGGAAAGTCGTTATATTCGATGTATTTTCAGGTCTTCGGGCATCAAAAAAGTGTCAGTAAATTCGATCTGTCGTTATTTTCGAGGTCGTTATACCCAGGGAGTCGTAAAATACAAGGGTATTTTACGACTCCCTGGTTATACCCGACCTACATCTATAATGTACAGAAAGGACTTGCTAAACGACTTGGGCAACACAATTTTGTCGCTTAACTCGATATGTCGTTATATCCAATCTCCACTGTAGGCTGTGTAGCTAGCACTGCAGTCTGACACGCATACTGTAGTACGGTAAGGCAACACACCACACAGTCGGATCCGGCGACTGAGCTAAGCAAGCAAAGAAAACGGGACGACATAATACCAGTAGCAGCGCTTGCGAATATCTCAAGAACTGAACATAGACACGCAGTAAAAACTAAAACACCGGTTCTCTGTCCACCCTGCACTCACTCCTTGCGCACACATCCGCACACTCACTCATACGTGTACACCACTATTGAACACGTGACCATTGCCAGTGGGGGCCACCAGAGCACAGCGCCCCAACTTATTGTCTTTGCACACAATTCCGTGGTCATGACTATACAGAACCATTGCCTAGTGTAACAAAAACTCCAGCTACGTCCAACCAGAAAACCATGGCAGACCATTATGCATCCGCCACTCTAGAATAATCAAAGCGATGATATTATGAAATTATCACTCCCTTAGTATTGACTCCCATAGATTTTTGCCATACCTAAGCAGTCAAATATTCCTGCATATTTCACTCCTTAGGGCTATATTGACTGCTTATATTTGACTGCTTAGGGGTTGCGCAGTTGAACGGTGCCTAGCGCAGCATTGTCACTGCATGAGTAGGTGGTGGTGCAACGGTTGTGCAATCATAAAACCGGAATTCATGAGGTTATCGTTCTGGAATTGAAATACGGACTGTTTGTCGCGATAAATCTAATATTGACTTCGTACTTGGTCAGTATAGGAAATAAAAACCTCGTAAAAGACCTCGGCTTCGCCTCGGTCTTTTACTCAGCTTTTATTTCCTATATTGACCTCGTACTCCGTCAATATTAGATACTTACATGATGATTACTGGGGTGGGCGGGTGGGCACTCTCACTCAACTCTCCGCACAAAGACAAAAGAGGCCGACCCTGCACTCGTCACCTCCTTTCATCCCACGCCGTGCTCCCTCGTACCCGTTCCCGGGTGGACAGAGAACACTACTTCTCTGCTAATCCTTATACTATGACGTCAACCGTATAGAAGTGACATTATAATTATTACTACAGTGGTCCCTCTATAATCCGGCACCATTTGTGCCACGAAAATCTGCTGGATTAGGGAGGGTGCTGGATTAACAAATCTGATTTACTGCTGCAATGTGCATGAAGAGGACATTTTGGCTACTGAAAATTGTGCTGGTTTATCGAGGGTGCTGGTTTATCGAGGGTGCTGGTTTATCGAGGGTGCTGGTTTATCGAGGGTGCTGGTTTATAAAGTGCCGGATTAGAGAGGGACGACTGTACATGTACACCCTCCTTAAAAGCACCATAGCCATCAAACAATTGCAATGCAATGTAACAGTCATGGTCTAATACTTCGAAGTAGAACACAATTCAAGTAGTGAAAATAATTGCATGAAAGGGAAGAATGTGATAAGTAAATCGGAACCCTACTCAAATACAACAAAATTCAATGAAGCGAGCACCGTCATGGAATGAGAATGCCACGCACTCTCAGCAGTACTTCGAAGTACATGTACTAATAATCCACTACCAATTCAGATTCAATGCCTAGTGGGTAATCTAGCCATCATCTAGGTAGAGCAGAGAGCATACCGGAATGTGAGATGGTATAATCAATTAAAAGTTTAAAACCAGCTGACACACACACACACACACACACACACACACAAACACACACACTATTACAACTACTGCTAACTGTTAGCAGCATGACTGCCCGGATGGGCAAGTGTCACCCCTATGAAAAGGGGACCGGAAAACAAGAGTCGGATCACAAGCAGGATCGCGAATGTCTGGCTAGGTCCTGCTGCCGGCGGAAATTGCATTTACAAGACACATACACACACACACACGCACACACACAGATTAAAAATTGGCATAAAACAGGATCATCGTATACATGTACTTCTCAAAAAGTGCCAACAAACATCACAAGAGATTACAAACCGTTCGTAATCTCTACACATCTACTATCTGGCCGTAAGGGCTGGATGGGCAAAGAACCCAACAGCTGACACAGCAAGAGGTGACTTGATGCGTAGAGACCAGACGTTCTCCGCCGCACGTCGCACCGCCACGTCCGTTGCCATGTCAACAAGCGACGCTCCGGAAGTCATGACAACCGGGTACAGTCTCGTCTCGTCGACCGACTTGTCAAAGCGCGCCGACACGGAGAGGTGCGTGAAGCGCGACTGCACGGTCGCCGTGGGTGACGAGTTTGAACATGACGACACGAGGCCGTCAAAGCACTTGATGACGGCGCACGTTTGCGCCCAGAATGTCACCGGTTGCCGGGGCTTCGTTCCGTTGAACACGCCCAGGGCAAAGTGCTCGCCGAACAACCCAGAAGAAATGGTCGCGTTGTCAAACTGATACGTCACCAAGCAGCAGAACGCTCCTTCGCACACCTCCAACGAGCTAGCATGCCGCGAAAGGAACTCGTACTTGTACGGCGTTTCGGCCTTGAACCTCTCCGCTGTAGTGCTGTCCATTGCTACTAATGGTAGCGGTTCCAGTCGTTCAGCAACAGCACTGTGGCGAGCTTGACCGCTGACCAGATCGGCCGAGAGTAGCTTGGCGCTGATGCTGGGATCGCCGGCGCGCTCAATGTAGGTCTGCAGGGGGTTTCCCCCGGCTGCGTACACGCCGCTGCCGGTGAACCTGAACGCGGGCAAGTGGGCGTTGGCGGCGATCACGTTCACGCCTAGCATGGCCGAGAAGCTCTGCTGTATGCCGGTGCTGTACAGCAGCGGGCCGGCGTTCATCCAGGCCGTGGGGAACGCCAGCTCCGTGGCGCCGTGCGCCAGAACGTTCTGCTGGCACGGCGCCGGGAACAGGATGTCGTAGCACGTGCACAGGCCGAACGTGACGCCGAACGAGGTGCGAAACACGGGCGCGTGCTCTGGGTGCGCCGAGCCCGGCGTGAACTGCTGCTCGAAAAACAAATGCTCCTTGTGATACTTCATCAGCAGGCGGCCGTCGGTGTCAAATGCCACGTCAGTATTATACAGGTGTCCCGTGGCAACGTCCTTATCGGCCATGTTTGCCACGACAACCGTGCCGTACTTGATCGCCATGCAGCTGAGGCGGCGCAGCACAGGAGTGGCGGTCGCACTCTCAGCCTCGGCGCAGGGAACAACCCGCTGCCTCACGATACGCGTAAGGTTCGGCATCGGCTCGGCATAGAACTCCATCTTGGATACCAACAGACCCGTGATGCCATCCTCAGGGAACACGATAATCTGCGCAGTGCCTGCTCTGCTGAAGGCTTCTGTGGCCGACTCGAAATCAGCAAGGTTCTGCATCATGATGTCCAGCGCACCGGATCTGCTCACTGGCAATCCCTGGTGTGGCTCGTGTTCGTACGCGGCGGCGCGGTACTTGATGCCGCCGCCGCCCTCACCCACAGCTACCACATTATGCTCTCTACTGCTTGCAGTAGCAGCAATGAAGGTTGCCGATAGGCAAGCGTAAAGCAAGCAAATACTGCCAAGCGCCATTTTAGTGAATGTTCTTAGGAATTATTTGAAACTTACTTTCAAACTATTTTTGTATGTTTACTGACGCGACCACGGCAGTAGGCCGTACCGTCAGCTACTGGAAGTTGGCACACGGTCTTCCTCACAAGCCTGAACAATTGGCCTCTATCCTATCTTCGCGTCCACGAGCTCGGAAAAGACTTCCATCGCTTTTGGTGTGTTGGTTGTGAATGTGTGCGGCCATGCAGTTCTCTGTGTTGACTGTTGTCCGCGCGAGAATCGCGTCGCGATCCGATGAAAACGAAAAAAGAGATTTTTGGATTGAGCAATCAATCATTCAAACAAAACACGACGTACACGTAGTCACGATCACGTACACACAAAGGTCAGATGATGTCATACCGAAGACGAGAAAGAATAATCTACACGTCAGTCGCGTGACCTGCATGCAGGAATGACGCCACCAATCAATCAAAAGCTCAGTTTTATTTTGGTGAGAAACGAAAAACGAAAAACATTCATTTTGATTGAGCAAAATAGTAACTTGTTTGTCGGTTTGTTTGTCGCATTGTTTTCTGCACTGCATTCCCTGCCTGACTTCTGGGTTGCTGAGTTCAAATTTCATAGTAATGGCGCTTTCCAGAACACCTCGCAACAAGGTGACTCCTCCGCTGAAGGGCAGCTTCCCACTGGATCATGACGGTAAGAACTAACATGGGGCTGAAAATGTGCACTGCAAAGATGATCCACGTAGATCTACGTAACGTGTGTCGTTCACTGCATGTTTCTGAATTAATGATAATCAGGAGTCCAATGACTGGAAAAAGAAGTCAGCATCGTAAAAACTATAATATCAGGAGTCCAATGACTGGAAAAAGAAGTCAGCATCGTAAAAACTATAATATCAGGAGTCCAATGACTGGAAAAAGAAGTCAGCATCGTAAAAATAGAAAAGAAAAAAATATTTCTTTAGTCACCTCTCTACATGCCGAGTTCCCATGTCGGTCTTGCTAAGCACTCTCACAAGTCTAATTTTCAAGTTGCCAAACCCTCTGTAAGTGTACATGTAGTGGTATGAAACCTTGGTTTGGTATCTAAGAGAAACCCTATCGGACTCAGAAGAGGCAACCATTATAGGGTAGTATCAAGAGTCAATAACCCCCAGAGTGTGCAACGCGCGATAGGGTCTTGTCACGACTCATTTTCAACATTACGTCATTTTCATGTACATTTTCATGTAGCGAATGGTGCGGCCTGCACGCGCAGCTACATGAAAACGACGTAATGTTGAAAACGAGTCGTGTCAGAGATTTGTGTGGCGTTGCACACTCAGGGGGTTATGGACTCTTGGTAGTATGTTGATGTTAGTGGATGGGTTGGACTATTACTGTAAACCTTCCAGTAGCCACGTCACTATTTCGTTCGCGATCTCTCAGAAGCAGCGAGTTTACGATGGCGAATGTTTGCGGAGCGCTGTGGCCACACGTACAGTACGCGCACTGTTGAGGTTTGCTTTCACGTTAGTGATATCGCACACTAGCAGAACGAATACAGCGCAAACATAAGGCAGTTTTCAGTACTAGTACCGTAAAAGCCTCTGTATACGCCCACTCGAAATTACGCCCACCCTCCGTGTACACGCCCAGTCAGGGGCAGTCAACACTTTTGTTTCAAAATAGCGCCCATGCCCATGTATACGCCCAGGTATGGCGGCAACACCAGTACATGTACAGGTACTGATACCCAATACTTACGGCTATCCCTATTCCAAGTATACGCCCGGTTCCAATATAACGCCCGTGCCCTTGTATACGCCCAGGAAATCGAGGCTGCTATTCTATACGCCCGGGGCCTATACACAGGCTTTTACGGTATCCAGGTTTTTTGTTCACAAAACTTCACTTCAAACTGTATTCAGGTTTTTTGTTCACAAAACTTCACTTCAAACTGTATTCAGGTTTTTTGTTCACAAAACTTCACTTCAAACTGTATTACAGTGTTTCCTCCATGGTTGAGCCAAGCTTGTACCTGATCTGTGCACTAAGTATTGACTTTCAACCCCATGTTTTCTCTTCTCGCCTGGTGTTGTGTGTTGCCCCTGTTTGCTGCTGCAGGGGAATGCAAGGATCGTATGCGCGACTACATGGAATGCCTCAAGAAGACCAGCCAGAACAGCAGGGCGTGTCGCGAAGAATCGCGGCAATACCTTGCCTGCCGAATGGAGAAGTACGTGCCTGTGTTTGTTGTTTCGTGTCGGCTTTCTCTCCTGCTGTCGAGCGCTGTCGTTGACTTGTTGGCGTGTCGCGATGCCGTGTGCATTGAGGCGAGTTGTTTCTGTGCAACACCGAGGTTTATTTAGTACACGGTGGATTTCTTTAGAAAAATTACTTGACAGCTGTTTGAAGAACTTGTTTTGATGGGCTATCATGTTGTAAGTTTTTTTCATTATTATATGCTGCAATGCAAATTTGAATGATCACCATACGGTCTTCACTGAATCCAATATCTGCATCTGTCCTGTTTCTCGTTAATCTTCAGGGACTTGATGACCAAAGAGCCGCTGGACACTCTGGGGTTCAAAGACCTCAAGCCACTGCCCTCTGAAAATCAGCCACAGAACAAGAGCTAAGTGACGCTAGACCAGTCTTCTCCGCCTTACCGCTGATGCCTACGACGTTTGCCAGGAAGTGACGAGTCGGGCGTAGCACAGCTCGCTGTGATTCACCACGGCACTCCATAAGCCTAGCTGCGTAGCGCGTGTTGCATTGGCTCCAGGGGCACTGTCACACAGAGGGATGGAAGCTGTTGCAATCACGCCCGTAGGGCAGAGACAGAGACACCTACTTCATCTTCCGCGCGTTTGATTTTTCAGACTTTCGGAAATTCACAGAGAACATGTGCGGTCTCCTAACTCTCCTTGCTGTCCAGTAGTTTCTGCAAGACTGCGAGCAAAGCGCTGCCGTTTCCAGGCCAAGGGGACAGCAAGCCATGGTGGCCCTGTGTGGTTCCGTGTCACCTGTGGGCCACTTGACCCCCCGGGACTACGCAATGTTTGGTGCCCTGCGTTGTCTTGTCTGCTCGTTTCCGCTGTGCTAACTGATAGCACTGGGAAGCTTGGAGGGCTGTTCTAGCCTGCAGCAGGTTAAACAGTGCGTTGTCCAGATTGTATATTATGTACTTGCTGGTGTGGTGGTGCTCTGCAGACACTGGTGTCAGTGTCGCTGTCGCTCTTTGCTGTATGATCTACATCCCAATATACCGTGCTGCTCCTTATGCTATCCAGATGTGTGTGTGTGTGTGTGTGTGTGTGTGTGTGTGTGTGTGTGTGTGTGCGCGCGCGTGCGTGTGTGTGCGGACGCGCGTGTGTGTGTCTGTGTGTGTGGGACTTTGCCTCCTTGCTATCCAGTATCCGCTTCGTAGTTTATATTTTTCTTTTTTTTGGTGGTGGCTCACTTGTTTTGTCAGCTGGCTGAAGAACGCTCCGCCCGACCATTCACCTCGTCTTATTTATCTGCTGGAAATATTGACATAGCTATTTTTGTATTGCTGAGATGCATATCAACAACATGTTTACCTTGCGTTCACATAGGGAGGGGTGTGGTAATCATTGGTCATGCTGTACGGGTCGTTCGTCGAGCTCTATTTCCCGTGTTGAACCGTCGAATTACTGTATTACCCAACTGCATGCACTGCAAAGAAATCAGATGAATGGTGCCAGGATCGGCCAGGGGCTCGACATATGATAACGTCCGTCTGCATTTCCCGTGTACTATTGCATGGTTTGTGGCAACCTTTTTGTTCCTCATATATATTCTGAGTTATCGTCACATTGCAATGCAACATTCGCAAGCACGGCACGATGCGCTGCAGGATAACCGTACATGCTAGTAATATTATAATAATGATTATAATAATTATTATGGAACAACTGTGTGAGAATGAAGACCACGGCATGGCTGTAGGACTGGTCCTTTGTGTCGCTGCGTAAAATCATTCGCCTCGTGATCTGGTCGGCCGACACCGTCGCGTCATAGCTAGCTAGACATACTCACATAGGCTGAATTTTTCGTAGCCTAAAAATTATTACAAAAATCACAGTAAAAAAAACAGCAACAAGATCTGGATGTGCGTACATGTACGAGTAGATCTACGAGAAACGAAAGCAGTTTATCGTTCTCCGGTCTCAGAGAAGCCAAATGCAGGCTAGCAGTGCTACAGTCGTGGAGTAGTCGCGTCAGGATTGTTGGCGTGTCGATAGGCTCATGGATGTCCCAACTCTGCAGTAGCGTGAAAGGAAATGTGTCGATACATCGGCATGATCTAGGATAGCCGCTCCGGACGGTGTGGGCCGCAGCCACCGAATCAATCGCCGTTGAATTCACGAAGCGACCAAAATATGGAGCCATGGCAGGACCGCTGGATAGAGCGCTACCGACCGAGAATCCTGGCTGCTGCCGAGGAGAGTGGTGCGTACATGCCCGAGGCCATAGCGGAGTATCTCAACGAGTGCGGCTTCATCGGCGATGCGCAGCAAGAGTCGTACGACGTGATCATGACGTCCGATTCATCCGCGCGGCAGAAATGCGAGCAGCTGTTCGAGCTGTTGGCGCGCATCGACGAGGTGGGAGCGTTCGATGACTTCCAGGATGCACTGCGGCAAAACCATGAGACGTCTATTCTGGCCGTGACGGAGAGCCAGAAGGATCTGCTGCGATTGGCCGAGACGGAGTCGCTGGGCGAATCCACGTCGGAACTGGCGACGATCACGGACGAGAAGCGCGTGCCGGACTGCGTGCTGCGAGCGTCGGAGAGTCTGCGGCATTCGTACGTGAAGCGCCGATTGCGTGTTGGTGCGCAGCGAGGCGGTGGCGGTGGTGGCGGGGGAAAATTGGACGACACGTACGTTGACGTGACGATAATCACCGACGAGGACCTAGCCGAGATGTTCCACCATAACCGTTCGCCGAGTGTCGTCGCGTCCAGGAGCAGTCGCCTGAAGACGCAGGTGCTGCCGAAAAGCGTCCCCAGCTCGCGATCCAGTACACCTCCATTGTCTCGGCACAACACCGGTCTGGACCACGTGTTCAAGCACTTGACGGGGTCGCTGAAGAAAGTACGACTGGAGTTGCTGTTTACACCGACTGACGACGAGCTGGAGGATGCAGATGACTGGCCTCGCCGTGTGCTGGCCGTGGCAAGCGCTGGCTGCGGCAAAACCGTCCTGTTCACGATCAAGATACCGCACGACTGGGCGAGTGGCGACCTCTGGGCGGCGCACTTCGATCTGCTGTGCGTGGTACAGTTGAACGACGTCGCGGCACGCTCGGCTCACAACACCGAGGAGCTGCTGCAACTGGCCACTCTGGGCCTGACGGCGGCCGAGCAGGCAGAGCTGGCGCAGTACGTGCACGCGCACCCGGAGCGCGTCTGCCTGATCCTGGACGGCTTGGACGAGTGCCACGTGTACGAGTGCAGTCTGTTCGTGCAGCAGGTCATCTACGATCAGTGCCCGTGTCTGGCCGGCATGCGGGTGATCATCACGTCGCGACCGTGCATCGCCACCAGCGTGCTTACGCAGCGAGCGCGGGTCGATCGCCGTCTGGAGATCATCGGCTTCACTCACAGCAGCGTGTACGACTTTGTCCGCAAGTACCTGACGGGCGAGGCCGCCGATGGAATGCTCAGGGAGCTGAAGGTACGACCGGATATCGTCAGCGTCATGTCGGTGCCGTTCTTCGCCCGCCTGACCTGCGACATGTACCAGCAGACGGCGTCGCTGCCGCAGTGCACCACCGAGATCTTTGAAACGGTCACGCTGAGCATCCTGCGTTCGTCGGCGTCCGCCGAGCAGTCTGCGTTCGCCACGCTGGAGCAGGTTCCCGGCGAGCTGAGGGACGCGCTGGACAGCCTGTGCGCGTTCGCGTACAAGATGCTGCGACGTCGCGTCACCGTGTTCGGCCAGAACGAGCTGCAGGCGGCCGGAGTGAGCGAGGTGGGAATCACGCTAGGCTTCCTTGTGCAGTCCGATGCCATTAATGCGCTGGGCTTTGCGCAGTTCCGCTTCAGCCACCTGACGCTGCAGGAGTTCCTGGCTGCGCTGCACATTCGCTCCCGGCAGCTGAGTGCGTCCACCCTGTCATCTCTGTTCCTGGAGGTGGGCACGTTCGACGGGCAGTACCACACGTTCTGGCACTTCGTCGCCGGCTTATCGGAGCCGGAGATCGCGGAGGCACTGGCCGAGTCCGCTCTGTTCTACCACGTGCCCGCTCACAACACGTCATCGGACAACCCACTGTACAGCACACAGCTCAGCCGAATGCAAAGGTCGTCATCCCTGTCCCGCGCCAGTCCGTTGAGTGTGAACACGATACGGCGGTCAATGCGCAGACCTGCTCGTTCCGGCACTCTTCCACCAGTACAGCACGACTCACCGGAGCCTCGGCGACGCCGGCGCTCCAATTCTCTGAGCCACAGCCTGCGGCAGAGTTTCTCCAAGGCGTTCAAGTCGTTCCGCCGTCCGCGCATTCACTTCCACGACAACGACATCACGTTGCCGAGGAAACAGCACGACGAGACGCTGGTGACGAAGCGCAGCCGCACGGATCCGTCTCTCTCCTTACAGCTACTCATCTACAGCTGCTTTCACGAGAACCGGAAAATGCAGGAGCGGCAACACTCATCTGCCAATGGGGCAGCCGGGAAGCAGTGTGACATTGGGGCAGCGGGTGAGTATCATGACAGGGTGCTGGCGCCGTGGAAGGCGCTGGAGCAGAGCATGCTGCACCACGGCATCTCGTTCACCAACCAGAACCTGCAGCTGAGCGAGACGCGCGTCCTGGGCACGGTGCTCCTCCACCACTCGCAGTCTATCCGCAGAGTTACGCTGTCGTCGTGCGGCATCGAGGACCACGGCCTCTGCCAGCTGTTGCCCGGGCTGACACACTGCGCACAGCTGGCCGAACTTCACCTGGCCGATAACTCTCTATCGGCACAGGATATGCACTCGCTGGGTAGCGTCCTGGCCGCCACGGCCAACTCGATGGAGTCGTTTGACGTGTCGCTGAACCCTATCGGTGACGGTGGTATGCGAGAGCTGCTGACCCTGGGCTTGCACGCGTGTCGTACCTTGCAGCATCTTTACCTGCACAAGACTGGCATAACGGGGCAAGACAGCAGCAGCAGCAGCAGCGATGGCGACGGTGGTGGTGGTAGCAGCGCAGGTGGAGGTGGTTGCTGCCAAGCGCTCAATACCGTCCTGCTCCGCTTCACCTGTCTGCGCTCGCTCTGGCTCGACGGCAATAGGCTGGGCGACGCCGGACTGGCTGCCCTGGCAACAGGTAACTTACTGAGGCATGTAGCAAGAAGGATTCATGAGTGTGTGTGTGTGTGTGATCCCCGGTAGCCTAATCGGAAGGGCACTGTCCCGGAAAGACAGGGGTGCTGGGTTCGAATCCCGCTCGTGGATCCTTCCTTTGCAACAGGCACACGCAAAAGCATTTCAAGTGTTTTTATAGTTACCGTATTTTCCGGAGTATAAGCTGCACATTGAACACTCAACATTCACCCGAAAAAGGGGGGTGCGGCTTATACTCCGGTGATCAAATTAACGTTGATAAATAGGGTTAATGTCTGTATTGCATGGCAGAAAAAGGGGGTGCGGCTTATACTCCGGAAAATACGGTACTAGTTCGTGTCTAGTCGCACAAAGTTACAAACTTCCTCCGGAAATAATAATAAGAAAAAACTGTGGGACAATGTTGTTTACATTCCAAGGAGTTGTGCTTTTAAGAAAGTTGGTTCCGTGTGCGTTCATGCGCGCGCGCGCGTGTGTGTGTGTGTGTGTGTGTGTGTGTGTGTGTGTGTGTGTGTGTGTGTGTGTGCTGTTGTGTGTGTGTGTGTGTGTGCCCGTGCTGTTGTGTGTGTGTGTGTGTGTGTGTGTGTGTGTGTGTGTGTGTGTGTGTGTGTGTGTGTGTGTGTGTGTACGCCCATCGCCTCTGGCGATGGGTGTCCAATGGTCCAATGGTGTGTGTGTGTGTGTGTGTGTGTGTGTGTGTGTGTGTGTGTGTGTTCGTGCGTGCTGTTGTGTGTGTTCTACTCTGGTCCAGGTCTTCAGCGTTGCTCACGTCTATCCGTCTTACACCTGGGCAGTACAGGCCTGACTGCGGAGTGCTTTGCCACTCTGAACTGCATCCTGCCGGAGCAAGGCGAGCTCAAGGAACTCTACCTGAATGGGAACGACTTCACGACGGTCGAAGGCGAGGACGCCGTTAGCGACAGCGTGGAGAGTTTGTACGCCAACCTGACTCAGGTGTCGAGTGAGTATCGGAACTGGCGTGCGCTCGTCCTGCCGAAGGGTTCCCCGACGTGGCTGCACTCACAGCTGGCCACGTTTCAGAGTAAACACCCAAAGCACTTACCCATCTTGCAGTGCGCTTAGGTTAGCCATGCAGCCCTGTACCACCAGCCTCTCCACAGGCACTCTACTGGTCGCGCAGTGTGTGTAGGTCAGCCATGCAGCCCTGTACCACCAGCCTCTCCACAGGCACTCTACTGGCCGCGCAGTGTGTGTAGGTCAGCCATACAGCCCTGTACCACCAGCCTCTCCACAGGCACTCTACTGGTCGTGCAGTGTGTGTAGGTCAGCCATGCAGCCCTGTACCACCGGCCTCTCCACAGGCACTCTACTGGTCGTGCAGTGTGTGTAGGTCAGCCATGCAGCCCTGTACCACCGGCCTCTCCACAGGCACTCTACTGGTCGTGCAGTGTGTGTAGGTCAGCCATGCAGCCCTGTACCACCAGCCTCTCCACGGCCACAGGCACTCTACTGGTCGTGCAGTGCAGGCCATGCAGGCTGTTATACCGCCGGCCTCTCCGCAAGAACTCTCCTGGACACACTGTACACGTAGCGGGTCAGCCCAGCATGTAGCCCTAAACCACCAGCCTGTTCACAGTAAGTTACAGGCACTCCACTGGCCACACAGTGTGTCTCAGTCAGCCAGCCCTACCCCGCAGGCACCCCACTAGCTGCACAGTGTATGTCAGTCAGTCAGCCCTACCCCCGGACATTCCACTAGCCACAAACAGTATGTCACCCCTACCCTACATGCAGTGTATCTCAGTCAGTCAGCCCTACCCCCCCCCCCCCCCCCCCCCCCCCCCGGGCATTCCACTAGCCACAAACAGTGTGTCTCAGTCAGCCCTACCCTACATGCAGTGTGTCTCAGTCAGCCAGCCCTACCCCACTGAGGCATTCCACTGACCACACACACATAACAGTGTGTCTGCAACGAGACACGAAGCGTTCCCTCTACTGGCCAGCGATTCACAGTTGAAACAATACTACTTGAGCTGCGTTATCATCAGTTGCAATGCCACTCTGTTGATTTCTATGTCTTCACGTCGCATGCTTGAGACGATCTCATCATGCACTCAGTAATTTGATCCTCGTGCTTTGCCACACACAGACAGCCTTTTTTTGCGCAATTTATTTGACCTGACATGCATGCATGCTTGCCTTTCGTGGTGGGCAAGAAGAGAATAACGATACTATTTTTTCTTATACGATGCACACATAGAAATGAATTAATAATTCATTGTGTTGACTGATGTTGTTTAGTGGCTATTAAAATGGACTATTTTTGTTCAGCGGACTGAACAGGCTACACATATGGGTGTGCACCTACTACTAGTATTACTTCAAGGAATCAGGTGTCAAAAATCCTCAGGCTGCGTGTCCCGGCTATGTGCAGTCAAAGCCAGTCACACAACTCTCACACAACAATGGCACCTGATGCATGGGTGGGGATTTTTCAATCCCGAAACGCTGAGTACAGCAATGGCAAAGGATTTGGTTGTGCCATTGCTCTGCGAGAAGTGTATTCCTTCTAGTACTGAATACAATGCTGCTCAATGAAATCCAGTTGCGTCCCTCGAGTACGCGCCGCGCGTTGCGCAGCCCTGGACCTGCAAACACTGGGCTGCGAAGAGGTGCAAGGCGCAAACTTGAGCGACGCGACTGGATTCCATTGAGCAGGACTGCGTACTAATTAATTTAATTTAGGGGTGAAACGAGTATATCGAATACTCGAGCGCTCGCTGGAAAATTTGAAACGAGCGAATACTCGTTTCGCGAAATACTCAAAGTATTCTATGTACAGTGTATTGAGAGAGTACTCGAGTCCCCAATTTTGGCACTCGTTTCACCCCTAGTACTAATACACGTACTGCACACTTTGGTGCGATACGACCTCTTGTATACAGTACTGTCTGTCGCCGAAGCTGAACGGCCAGGCTAGAATTATTTTACCAAGCACAGCATACCAATGCATATACGGTGACTCGACTAGCGACTGTACATAGAGACTGTAATAGGTGAAAATAAGAACGGCTAGGAGGCTGGCCCACCACCAGCTCTTCGGCGACCGTGTAATCCAGGAAACACAGAAGAGACCAGGAAATGGAGTGAAACCATCGTGTCAGTACAAGACACTCAAAACAATATTAATTTTTGTACTGCAGGCAGTGTTATCAGCATGCATGGCAGCGCTCAAGAATTGAGAAAAGATTGAACAGTTTTTGAAAATTATCTGCTAAATAGACAGGCATCACTGGCAAGGAAAGCCCGTACGGTCAACTCAGCATTTGGCCTGGGCAAGAGAAAAATGGGATTTGCACTGCCCCGCAATAGGCAAGCAGTTAACGGTAGCGGCTGGAAAATCAAGTTCTGTAAAAAAAATGCAATTTTCGTTGTCAAAGAGAATCTGTGCTGGCTGGTGCTGGCTATAACCATGGTAACTGTACAGTGTCACGGTAACAACCAACGCCCTAGACACTCCGGAGAGCACATTCAGGATCATCTACTTCCTCCGCGTCATCGAAATTGTCGCAGTTTGACTAGTGACTTGTCATTTGCTACTGACAACTCCATAAGCTAAGCCATTCAAAACTTATTACACAGTATGATAGTCTGAAGACTAGAGTAACGTTCCAGGACAGTTGGACTGAGAGTTTTCATGCAGAGATGAAGTCCTCATCGTCGCTGATGTCAATGGACGCAAAAATATCGTTCCGAAATATTTCAAGGAAGGTTGAAAGTTGGTTGCGCCTCATCCCAAACGCTGTGACTATCTCCACAGGACAAGAGCTGCTATGCTTGTCGTCTACTAGCTCTGGATGATTTCTACTTCACCACCAACAAAGCCTAGTAAGAATACACGATCGTTGCGAGGTCGGTTGATTGCCGTCGGCGAAATCACCTCGATCTTGAAATGAACTTTTTTTAGCCGTGGCATGCCCATATATTTTAGCTGTGTGGTCACAGCTCATGCAGGTAAGTGTACTATCACGTCCAGGGCGCCCTCTTTTTCAGCATCACTGGTATACCATGGTATGGCACCTGCGCGTGCATCACTAGCACTACGTGTAGAGTCTAAACGGCTCTTGCAGGTACAATCATGTACCATGTGTACTGTGTGTGTCAGCCAGAGCGACAAATTTTATCGCTGTTGCAGGCATCTAGTTTGCTGACCCCTCGATGTTTCTCCAAGCGCTGCCACTTGTTCCACAAAGTCATTCTCACTCCAGCTAAGGTAAAACAGTGATGAGGCTTGAGTGAATGGCCATAAGCACGAGAAATGTGCAGTCTGCAACGCCTGACTGATCTCAGCGAGTCGAAATTACCATCGCAGCGACATCAGCGAAGAAATTGCGTCTAGTTCAAAAATTCCAGCTTCCAATAACAGAAAATAGAACTTTGCCGTCACCCTATACTGATGACTATCGCCTATGTCCGATTTCTTGCCTAAACTGCGACACTTTCGATGACGCGGAGGAAGTAGGAGCGGCTGAAGCTTGGACCGCAACCTGCTGTTATCCCCACACTGTGCAGAAAAGCAGAGAACACTAAGCTTGCTACACTGGCGAACAGCCTGCCTGAACTGGGCTAGTACACGTCGTTCCTCCGATTTAGGACCATACGTGAAGGCATATCCTAGGACGTACAGTCCTTCCAGGTTCCTGTTAGACTGGAGAATGTCCTGAATGGTCGTCAGCGACGCATCAGCACCGAACTCACTCCATAACCCGCAAAGTGTAACAATCCGCAGCTTGCTACATGAACTCAGCGCTCGGCAGACCAAAGCAAAGCCGTCAATGCCGACTTCATTCTGATCTAAACGCACTTCCTCCAGGCTGGACGATGCGGACAAAATGGCTGATGAAAAGACATTACCATCGGTACAGTGATTCTCATTCAAAGAGAGCACACGTACATGCGTGTAGCGTGCCAAGCCATTAAGAATGCAGCGCATAGCACTATTAGCAGTGTTGGACAAACAACCCTGCAGGTACACTTCCGGCACGTCCACGCAAGAATGGGTTGTGAGGAAATGAGCAACGGCGGTGCAATCTAACAGGCTGAGTTTCACAAAATTCAGAATAAAGACGTTAGAGAAGAATGAACAATGCCCATTACAAGATGACATACCTTGATACTGGCAGTGCTCTAGATAAGCTACTAACAAATCAGCTAGGCAACGCCGCTCTACCTTATCCTTCGCAGGACGCGGGCTGGGTGCAGCAGTAGCAGTCGGAGCAGCACCAGATGACGATGGCGTCGATATCTCCGATGTCGCGCTTGTCATCGCATGCTGCTCACAATGCGACGCGGTCCCGGGATCCACTTTACGTACAGCCGACAGGAACACCTCTGCACTCCTCTCCGCTGCCTCGTTCTTCCATACGACTACAAGAGTATCCAGGTACAACTCGTCCGTCAACTCCCTGTCTTGCGGCAGAGCATTGTCGACACGGTGACGGCCACGTCCTTGCCCGGCGGTGCCAACCAGCAGCTGATCGGCGAGCTCTTTTATCTTCTCAATCGACAGCGCCGATTTCAGCACGGCGTGGATACGGTCCACGTCGTTGCTTTGCTTGCCTGGCTGAGAACGGCTCACAATGTCGTCGAGCAGGCGTGTATCAGTCTTGCTGTATGCACGTTGTGCACGGTCACAGATTATACGCCACAGATGCTCCATGATGGCGACTGCGAGCTTTGGCACTGCGAGCGCGATCAGGAAACGCCAGAACATAGTCATGTGACCGCTGTAATGGCCGACTCTCCTCACCAGCCACGCAGCGTCGTTCTCGTCGTTCAGCATCTCGCTGCGCACGTACCAGGCCGCCAAGACCTCCTGAAAGGACAAGTGAGCAAATCGATATTGCCGGTCTTCTGTTGAGCTGGTGCTCTTGTACGTCCTAAGCAATCCTAATTCAATTGCAGGCATGCTTAGTTGTGCCGAACTGACATCCTCCTCGTTGAATACCATCTTTTGCTGAGCTAGCATAGATAGTGCGAAACCAGATAGCTCCTTCAACACTTCAATCTCGTCCATCTTGATGGCGGAAAGCGTCTTGTAGCGCTTGCCCACACGTCGTTCCATGACACGGCGGACAAGCGACTCGTACAGTTCTGTACTGGATGTCGGCAATTTACTACCGTCTGTGTCGTCCATGAACAATTCACAGGCCAGCGCAGCAAACAGAGGTGTGCCCATCAGCGACATTGTGCCCTCTTGTGAGCGGAGCTTCTCCAGCATAGCCTCGCCTTTCACATCGCCCATCACTTTGATCACGTAAGTTTCAACGTCGTCTGGTGAGAATCCAACCACCTCCACTTGCTGTTCATACTCTCCACAATGCGACAGGGTGTGAGCAGCAGTACAGGGTCGAGACGTCACCACTACATGCATATCACCACTACTACGCCTTGTCAACAGTAGATCACGCATGTATTCACTGCAGTTCTTCAACTTGCACTCATCCAGCCCGTCCAGCACAATGCAAAGACGGGACTGGTTGCTGCGAAAGAACCGTGACATCTCCAACAGCTCATCTGTCTCCACATCCAGACTGGAGAATCGACGTGCCAGCAAGTCGCACAAGCTCGTAGCAGTTTGCACCTCGGCACGCCGTAATTCCACTGCCAGCACCAGATCAAACTTTCCACGCCAAAGCTCACCTTTAGACCAGAGGTATTCCAGCATGATCAGAAAGATCGTGGATTTGCCACAGCCAGCGCTTCCAAACGCTAGGACTTTCTTCTTGTTCGCTTCCACGGGTTCTTTGGCACGCACCAATAAACCCGAATCAGCTACCTCATGGTCACAGCCCGGGCTTGTCGTGGCCCCTTGATTGCAAGACCGCTCGTTGGTAGCGGAGAAAATATCTTCCAGTTCAATGCCACGCTCGCGCTCGGCCGAAGCGACCCTTTGTGGCTGAGCCTCTGAGAACAATTCCAACTGGCGTGCTCGTTCAGAACCAGACGAAAAGGACGATGACTCGTTACCGAAAAGCTTGGAAAGTTCGTCCTTTGTCAGCAACGTCAAGTTGACAAAAATGTCTTCCAATGGGATTTTGGCATCGCTGGCAAGGCCACCGCTAATCTGAATACCAGCCTTCTCAACTGCCTTCGCCAGCAAATCACGGGCAGTTCGGACAGAAGCAGGCAACTTTTGCTCGTCGGACGCCATGGGTCACCGGCAGGTTTGCGTCCAAGTAGTTGCGAGGAGCACCAGGCAACAACGTCGTGCAAGGAGACGCTACGATTATTTTACTTGTCTTTGCCTGCATGACACAAGTCATGATGGTACGA